CCATTTCTATATGGCTGGACACCCGCTATTCTACTTCCATTCATACCACTAGGTTTAGGCAATTTAATACTTATCATAGAATGTTTTCTTCATTTCTAGACCTCCGTTGTAAAGTGCGTTCTTCAGGGGCCTTGATTGCGTTTCTAACAACCGATTTCTATTGTTAAACCTTCGAATGTAAAAACTCTATAGAATAATATTAATAATAATAGTAATGAACACTACTTGCGTACTTTGGTACATTACAATGAAATTAACAGAACTGATTAACTTTAGTTTGTATATTGTAGATATTCGGATCGATACTAATGCTTGTTTTTATGTTGTTAAAATTTGTTGTTAGTTTTATGTATATCGCCTTGTAAAATAAACTATTTCTTGCCGATGCGCGTCTCATTTACCTTCTGCGCAGCTAGAAAACCCGAAAATACTGTCCCTACATGGCAACGCTCATAACGTAGCTCGATGGGATCACGCCCATTGTCTCATAGATGGCCCTTGCAACATATTCCACATTGTCCATGTTCAAACCGCTCACATTCAGCCTGCCATTGCTCAACATGTAAATGTGGTACTGCTTCTTCAGATATTCCACTTGGATCTGATTGAGGCCTGAAACGGTGTTTGTTGGGGGCAAAACTCCCGCTTTCTGGCCCCCTTTAGGTACCAATGAAACAAAACAGGCCCACTTGGTTGGTGATGTGGGCCCACGATCCAGGCGCCCCCAATCGCTCCAGTTCTTCCCTTAGGTAGGTTCTCATCTGCTTCAGCCGCGCTGCAATGCCTGCGATACTGGCCTTCCATTCTTCCGATAGGATCTTATCTTCCAGAATAAACGCCACGATTCTAGAAAGACGACATTTTCAAGCTTGGAGCTGCCGCTTTTTGGGCTGCAAGCCCAAAAATCAACCTCGATCCATGACTAGGCGGCGCCCAGTACATGTTTCCGGCGATTTTGAGCAAATGGGAGCGAATGGGGTTCACGTGCTGCGCGTGTTTGGCCACAATGGAAAGACATCCGGAGCGCTCATTGTAAAGGCCGAAGTTCCACGCGAAGGACTGCGAGCAGAAGAACTCCAAGCCGCGTGTTTCGAACATCCGCACCACTTCCACGTCCTGGTGAACATCGCCAGTTGCAAACCCTGCAGCTCCAAAAGGGGAACAGGGGGAGAGTCAGTTTAGTTCCAGAGTAGCTACCTTGGAAGGGGGAGTAAAAGAATGGAAACAGCTGTTTGGAGGCTATGATATCGGCTATTTTCTCCCACTCGGAAGAGTCTGGATCACACCCGGTAGGATTGTGGCCGCTCACTTGCAGGAACACCACAGCGCCCGCCTGGGCGTTTTCCAGATCTTTCAGCAGATACTCAATGTCCAGGCTCAAGGTGTAGTAGTCAAAGTAGCGCAGCTCCCTCAGCTCCTTAAATCCTGCCGAGTTTCCAGGTAGTTGTGGAGTTTCCAGCGCAAAACTCACCAGCGCTCAGGAAAACACTTCCCAGATCTTCAAGGGTTTGCTCCGGAAAGTAGACGGTGGTCATACCCAAAGTACCGGCCAGAAACTCAGCGCCTATTCTAGTAGCTCCGGTTGCTGACATAGTCTGAATGGCAAAGGCGCGGCTTTCTAATCTAGCCCGACTCTGATGACCTAGAAGGTTTTTTGGTGTTATGCTGAGTTTCTTCTGGGTGGCACTTTACCCAGAAGCAAGGAAACAGCGCTTTGGTTCAAAGTTTCATATCCCAGAGGATGGAGGTATTCTTTGGATAGCGAACTATCGTTGGCCAGCACTGTTTCAGCCACTCTGACTACCGGGAACACCCAAGGATTTCCATACTCATCTCGATAGCATGGGAAAGCTGCAGGAAAAATGCCGCTAATTAAGTTTGAAGCAGAAACAAATGTTCATTGGAGGCTTACCAAAGTTGAGCTTTCGATCGAAATCGTCATGGGTATATTGGGATTCTATGGAAAACAACTCACTGGGGGGCAGGTGCTCCACGTCAGCAAACCATGAGGAATCCATCATCAGGGAGTGACAGTATTTGGCCACCAAGTGGCAAATTTGAGTGGAAACATCTATACAGGTTTATAGGAAAAATCATTAAGGAAGCCCCTGATTATACAGAGTGGAAACAGGGTGTTTTCACTTTGAAATATTGATATATAGAAAATAGTTATGGCACTCATATAATTTTTTTGCAAAACAAGTCTCCATAAAAGTTTTAAAGCGAATTTAAATTCAAGCCAGATATTTTCCGCCAAAAACGCCGAATTCGTATCGTCGGTTGCCTATCCCGATTGTGACGCAGCAGGTCATATCAGCAAAGTGTCTCGTGTTTATTTTGCTGTTTTCGCAGCTTTGTTTTATTACTTAAGTTATTGTGATTGTTATTATTCCAAATCAAATTCATTCCTGGGTTTCAGTCATTTATTGTCTCTATTTATTAATCAAAATACGTTTCGGTGTATTTTTCCACCATCATCAGTTTTTATGTGTAGCGTTGTTGC